ACCCTACCACTTGTTCCCGTCAATGCACCACCACCTTTCAGTGGATGAACAGATCCCGAAACGCTGGACGATGTGCGTGAATTCGTCCACGATGACTTCATTGCCTCGAAGCCTGCAAGAATTCTTCCTTAACGGCATTCGTACGTTAGCTGAGAATTCGAGGAATGCAATACGATGTACAATATCATACTCCTACATACACGACACCATGGAAACGGCTAGAAATCCATGAGGGTGTACATTTCGCGCGTGGACCGAAGGCAACCGTGGGCACTAGACTGAGCAGCCAGCCAGTCAGATGCAAACTCACAGAACGCGCTCTACCGAAGCCACCGTTGCCAGACTGACTGGAGTTGTTCCCCTGGCCCTCCGGGCCCCCGTCCCTGCCGACCTCCAGCCCTGGTGCCGCATTCGTCGTGCCGGCTGACAGCAGGGCGTCATCAGGGGCCGCAGGTCGCAGGCGATTGGCCGTCTGGTGGCGCAGGCAGTAGACGCCCAGGATCACCACAATGAAGATTGCCATGACGGCGCCGGCCACGGGCCCGACCGGACTGCTGATGCTGTTGCTCCAGCCGGCCATACTGCCATCGCTCACCTCCCCGACGCTAGACAGCGACCCGGGGAAGTAGTGACGGGCAAGGGCGTACGGCGAGACGTATAAATTCTCGGCAGCGGCTGCGGCGGCGCTAGAGCCGTGGTAGTAGTGATGGTGGTGGTGGTAGTAGTAGTAGTGGTAAAATTGCGCAGCCGATGAGGAAGTCTTCGGTGGGAGGTGTCTGTAGTGTCCCGGAGGGAGCAGAGAAGGGGGAGGGGGGAAAAGGAAAGGCCAGTTTTCCTCAAGTGACGTAGGCGCCGAGGGAAAGAAACTAAGTGGAACTGAACAAAGCAAATGCAGAGGCTGAGGACGCAATCCCGATTGGTTGCGCTTGTATAACTAAACATGGCTTTCGTAGCAAGTATAAAAGTATGTTGTTGCATAAATAAAACAGTAAGAAACTATGATTACACATTTTTTTTCGCTAAAAGAAACAACAGTTTCAAATTGCGGCTTCATAGTTCATATTTTCACAGTAAGAAACTACGGCTACATGGTTTGCCTTAAAGAAACATCCTCGACAGGGTATAGGTGATTTGGGAAGTGGTTACGAGGGGACAGGCATCGAAATAGTTTAGTCCACTTGACACGTTCCGAACGAATGTGCCTCCAGGATTAATAGAACTGCAATATTAATCGAAAAAAATTGGCGCTAATCTCTGGAAATGCCATTTTTGGCCAATGAGATAGCGACCTTTGAGGGGAAACTTGGGGAGTTAAGGGAGAAGGAGAACACACACGCAATTCTAGCTGACGAAATTCAACTGCCGCGCAGAATAGTCGAAACTTTAGTACTTGCCTCAGGCTACATTCGCCCGTCTAAAGAAATTGTGCATGTTATTAACTCCATCAAGTCGCTGGTGGACACCACGTGTAACGGCAACGACCGTATCGAGGAGTCAAAGAAAAATTGGAAGTCAAATCATTGACGAGTAAGCCGTTGAAAGCAATAGCCTTAAATATACCCTTTGTGGAATTAGATTTCCATATTTAAACTTGGATTTGAGGTTAAACTAACTTCAATTATGCCAAAAAATGTCAGTGCTACAACACACCAATAGGATGTCACAAACCAGCCGCAGCTTTTAATTACCGGTTGTGACGCTGCTGTAGGGAGAGACGGCGCCGACCACGCCACCGAAGCAGACATCCATTGGCGCGCAAAATCCGCCGTTTTCCAGGGCCTGTCCATCGGACCTCAGCGAGCAGAATTCACAGCCGATGGTCGCGACGCACTCGATGACGCGTCGCCCAATCGTTCCACAATCCACGGGACCCCACGCGGGAACCAGTGACCCTCCGGAATCGAAATTCTTCGGAAGCGATTCATTAGCCGATGCGTTGAAAAGCAACAGCCACTCGTGAAGCGAGGCAACGGGGACGCGGTGCGAAAGCGATCCAGACTGCTGGCAGAGCGGAGGAGCGTCGGGCAGGCTGGCCAATGCCTTCCAAGAGGCTGCAGTGGCGGCTTTGGGCATCGGCAGAAGAGGCGCTTGGAGCTACAATGAAGAAAACATTCAATTCGCCTACTGCAGTTACAGAAACAGGCAATGCTTATGTGAAATTACAATCTACAGCACACAAAAGTCGACTGCAGGAGATGGGAACTTACATTCAATGGGACGCAAACGGGGAGAGCTTCGGAGGTGGTGGCGGTGGTGTTTGACGACGGCGACGACGAAACGAGCCCGACACCCACACTGACTGGGCACTCGCAAGGACACTCGCACTCGCGCTGTTCCATTCTGCCGCAACTGAGGCATCGGCGATCCTTGGTGGAACACGAGCAAAACGCCGCTCTGCAACTGGGAGCGGCTTTGTCGTTCCGACGACGATGCTTCAACACGTCTCGAATGACACCGAAGAAGACATTTGTGCCGGGAACTAGGGCCAACTGAGAAAAGGAATGCTTAGATAGTCGTGAATTGTGCTTATTCACACCCCTTAATCCGGTCGCTCCGCCTCCGACACCCAGGGTTCCCCTTTTCGCAGCATGCCGCCAGCCGCGCGGATCACCAACTCCCTCCTCATTATCACTAATATTTATCTTGGAGTATCCCCACACTAAGGTCTTGATGTTAGTGCATGTATGACTCACACATAGGAGGTATGAATACACACGCGCAAACCCCGCGCACTACACGACACCAAAAAAGGTTGAGCTCTGAAGTAAACGGTTGTGTCGTCTATGTCCTCTCCGGTCTTTCTCTTCATCACAGGTATCAGGGAAACGCAGTCTAGCCAGGGCTGATTCCGTGGCCCCGGCGTGAATTCAAGATTACATGCTGGGGCCCACAACAAGGTCATGACGAGGGGTCCCCCGTGTACGCAAACAACGTTTTTGAATTACCCTGTGTAACGAAGCACTAGTTATTTAGGTGAGGTGCCTAACTGATACGAAGAATTTCCTTCAATCGTCTTAACAGTTAAAGGGCTCAAGCATTGTAGTTCATTAACAATCTCGCTTGTTACGTTTCGTCGACAGCATAAGTTCTAGCAAATGTTTGCCACACATGGTACTGCGGATACCCAGCTGCTAAAGTTTGATCGCCTCATTGGTTAGCCTGTTTTCCGATGTCCAAATCAAAGGAAGTCCGGAGCCTACATGTGCAAATAGGCAAAAAAGACTTGCCTGATAACGATTACAGTCTTCCCCATGGGCAAAATTCGTAACAACCTCCGTGTGAGAGGTATTGAACACGTAGAAGCGTTGTAGGGATCGGTGCGTGTGGGAGACGCAGGACATCTTCTTGACAAAGTCCACGTGATTCAGCAAATCCGCGGCAACCATTGGCTCCCTAGAGAGACGGGAAACTCTGTCGTCAGCATCACTTTTAGCAAATATCGTTATTCAATTAACTTCGCGTGGAATACTTTGAACGGTGGTGAAAAGGGAAGTTTTTTTCAAAGATTCCCAAACGTAAAGGGTCGAGGGTTCAGTCCCGACGCCGAAACAGGACGTCCACTTGAAGACTGTTCTCCTGTGTATCTGATGGGGGGACACGAAGGGTGGACATTACTACCAACTCCTGGAAGCTGGTCACACGGTGACAGCCAACGCTACAGCCGACAAATGAACGGAGTGAGCTCACAATTTGATCAGAAAAGGTCATCATCTGACCACTCAAACATTTGCGTTCTGGGTTGCGTAAACGAGCCGATTCCACACAACGACCCCGGGGTGGTTAACGACCACATGCCGGAGCATTCAAGGCATCCATTTTATGCCACACCGGCCCTGAACAACATTGTCCCTCATTTTTATCCAAGCACTACCCACACCAGGTCACTGCAAAGTTCTGACCTGAGCAGTGAAATTTGACGAAATATTGGATGGTGGCATTAAGTATTAGTGTCTGGCAGATGTAACAGCTTTAGTGTTCTACTTAAGCAAGATTGTTCGTGTTTAATTGGTTGACCACGTAAATGACGGGGTGAATTGAACGCCAACCTATGATTGATGTGCCCACTCTCCAGAGGCCCGGCAATCTTCGGTTCGGTTAATCCGGGGTGGGCAATGAGGTAGCCCCTATCATCCATGAGTATGCACTTTGTAGGGTCGCGCGATTCTGCCTCGATCGCGTCGCCCTCCTCCTCCCCTTCGCTGTTGCCTTCAACGAGCATCCCGCGATCACGCAGGATGTCCAGGAGGATGCGGGAGGATCGCGTCGAGGCGCTGCCCAGAGAGGAAATGGGCAGTCCCGGGGTCTTGGAGTCGTTTCTCGCCCTCTTGCCACCACCTCGCCTCGGTCGGCGCGGCGTACACCACGCGGGCAGCCACGTGGCGAGGAGGTGATCGAAGAGGCGATGCGGCACGTCCATCGCTATCACGGCCTGCACCCGACCAATGCCCGGCGTGTGCACACCGCTTTGGCTAAAACACGCACAAGGAAAGTTTCAATGCAAAGTAGACGACGTTAATTTTAGGTCGCCTCATCGTGTGAATTCTACGGCGAAACGCTTAGCATCATCATCGAAGGATTTATTCTGAAATGAGATCAGGGCAGGGCTTGATCCGATAAGTAAGAAAAAACATTTATTGAACCAACGTAAACTAGGCACCGAATTCGCTAACTCCTCCACAAGGCAAGTGGAACACTATTCAAAGTCCCCCAATAGCGGTGAATACTTGGAATAACCGCAACAAGAATGTAACATCTTGTTGTGTTTGTGCTGTTAGTCGATTCCATCGCGTGAATCCACTTCTGCTTACAAGATGTGCCACATCAGTGGAGGTTAACTGGTATTTTGAGGGCCTAGTGTTAAAGTACTTTCATATTGCCGTCAGTGTTGCCTTTTTCTAGTTAAACACTTTAGGTGGTAGCTCATTTCCTGTGATTGATTCAGCAGTTGAGGCTGTTTCAGGCTGACGCCGACATGGCAGTAAGGAGAACACGACAGGGCGCACTCACTTGCCCTCGAATATGGCGTAGGAGATGGTCACAATGGAGCCGGCGCCACCGTCGTCGAGGTAGGGCCCGGTGAAGACAAGTCTGCCGGCATTCTGCACAGCTCGCAGGTACCACAGACGAGTGGTCGCGTCGTAGTTCGTCGGCATGAGGGTGCCCGGCCACATCAGCATGATTCCCGTGTCCGTCGAAACGTACCTACAAGGCAAAGCGACGCCACTCAGCATCACCGCTCGTTCCACGAAGTTGAATACCTACCAACCTTCGACGCAATCAACTTGGACACTTTCGACTTGAAGGGTTAAGTTGGAATGCAGCAATGCAAGTCTCATTGGACTGAAAAAACAATCTCGTGGCCTCGTCGGCATGTGGCGAGGTCTGGAAGTAAGCGACTGTGTTTCTCAAAAGTAATACTCGTGGTTTCGCAATCCCCTAAGAACCTGCGTCACGTTACCACGATGACAGACGACGACAGACAACCTTTTATTGATCCAGAGGTAAGAAAAAGGTGTGTGATGCAGAACAGATGTAACAAAAATATTTTCCCTTTTTAGATTAAATACTCCCGATAGACAGTTTTTGAGGTACTGAACAGAGTAAAAAAGGAAATAGTTAGAAAAGTTAATTATTAGGTACGTTTGAACAGTTACAATTAATTCTTGGCGCATGAACAGTACTTGAATTTTTGCATGCTTACGAGCAAGACTTCAATGCTAACTAGGGAAACATTTTTCTTTTCCAGATGGACAATGAAAAGTTTTTTGGTCAGTTTTATGCAGCATGAACACACCCAAAAACCCCATTTTAAAACGATGAAAAAGTGAAAACAGGTAAATAATAGCCGGACATTTACCACCATATTAAAAAAAAATAAAATCATTTCGACTGTTCCGTTAGAAGTTCTGGCTAGTTAGTGCACAATCTCCCAAAGGAATGTGACTAAGATCTAAGTGCAGGGCTTTCATGACCGTCACTTGCCTGCATTCCGTTGAGAATACTTGGAGTTCCTTTGGAGGTGCTATTAAAATCGCTGTGTATAATCTCCAACTCCGAGAATTTATTCTTTAGACGCACATTTTTTGAGTTTCAGCCATGCGTGCACCGATGTTAGTTGCTTGTTCGTTATGCTGGACAGCCTGGCGACTGTCCACACAGAAGATCATGAGTTTCGTGTGCCACAACCAAGACGAATGCGTGAAAGTGTGTGTGTGTGTGCAGGCCTGATTTTAGGTATCCAACTGCGAAATTGCCGCAACTGTCAACACTCTCCAGGACAATTTGTTCAACACGAGGATTCGTGACGTCGATTTACTCAAATCTGTCCATAGGAACACAACACCGCAGTCACGCGATGTCGTTGATCACCCTGACAGTGTTGGTAACTGAAGTCGCCAGACCAGGGTTCCGCATGCTTCCTCTTCGACCTCGACTGGTGATCAAGCCTTTGTCTAAGACAGCAAAATACCCTGCACGAAATCTTGTCCTGAGAAGCCTTTGACGTGTTAAACGAGGGATCGACTACATATCAGACAAAACCGATCAGTGAATAAGCATTGATTGTTCACCAGACACGCACCGTCGAATGATGTGCTTGCCGAACTTGCTGGCACCACCGGCTCCCCCGCGCTGGCGCCAGAACTTGCCGATGCGCTCGACAACCGCGACGGCCGTGCGGGCACCAGGCGGCGCCGCGACGAGGCCCGGATTCGAGATGAGCGACGTCTGGTCCGTCAGGTAGGCAACCATGTGGCGCACCTGGTCCGCTGTCTCGGCCCCGCCGGCTGACGTCAGGTGCTCGAAGGGACGCATGAAGGTACGCGGTGGCAGGTAAACCGTGTTGTAGCCTTCGAAGAGAACCAAAATTATTTTTTTTTAAAAGCCTCACCTCACACTGGATCTGAAACTACTACTGATCAAATTTGAGTTACGGTCCTGAAAATAGTCCCAATGGAACCGATTTTTTTGGTAGGTTTGATGAATCGGAGAGTAGGAAGCGACTTGAAGCGGTAGTGACGATTTACTGCAAAAAGGCCGTTAGAGAACATCGATGGAGCCCATTGGAGGAAGCAGGAGTACTCGGTGGAGGCGCGCCAAAATAATGTTGTGTGAAACAGCAATCTGTCCGGCAACTTGTGAAGGCAGTTTTACATTGGACGTGTTTGCCTATGCTATTGTACTTTATCTTTTAGTAATAAAAGCGTGTCAAGCACAATTAGTAGGTGAAAATTGCGGTCCCAACAAATTAACTGTTCCAGATTTGAAGTGGTAGCAGTGACTGTCCAACGTAGAGCACCTCACTGGAGTTAACAGGTTTGGCTGAACATAATGTAACTGAATCTAAGTCTCCAACTTCGACATTTTGCTGTTTGAATTACTCACAGAAGTAATTAAATGACTTTTTTTTCACTCAATGCGCAATTCAGCGGAAGGGAGAGTGTTTCAAGTCGAGTAGCGACTGGACACGACCCCACAAACCAGAACTCGTAGTTGACCACGGGCGTGGCTTAACGCTTAGACACCAATGCAAATTTCGCCGACGTGTTCAACTTACTGAAAGTAGCCAACTGGCGGAGGTAGAGACAGGCCTGGTCCCTCTTGAACAGATCCAGACGGTGGTAGCACGACTCGAAGGGCGGAGCTAGATAGGCAAGAAAGATTAAAGGCCACCGACAACAAGAAGAATGCCCTAAGCATTATGGTGACAGCTTTTTCCCCATGGCGAGATCACAGCTTCCATAACCTTGCTCCTACAACTGCAGCCTACGTCCACCATATCAGCCAGTTTCCGTGCCTACATTAGTCAATAAATGCGTTTAAAACCGCAACAATTGGCAAGCCTTTTACTTGAAAACAGCGATGCGCTATTAACTCACTGAGTTCCAGCAGCTGACGACTCGGGGTCGAGTTTTCCACCTCAAAGGAGCGCATGACAACTGCAAACTGCGTGGCGGGATCGGTGATCCGCCGCCACCGGTAAGTAACCTTGACACGCACCGTGTTGCCTCGGGAGTGGCCAGGTGATCCGTCGACTTCGGACACCGGGGATCCCTCGTCGGCCGACCAAATTCCCGTTGCCGCAATCAAGGCAAACTTCGAGCGATCCTGCCGAACGGGGTAGAAATATTCTGATGGGGAAATGACTGACCGCGATGTTGTGAATCGTGTTTATTCACACCCCTTAATCCGGTCGCTCCACCTGCGACACAGGCATCCCCCTTTCCCCTCAACTTCCTCCTCATTCACACAGGTATTTTTCTAGGATTATCCTCACACCTAGGCCTCGATGTTAGCGCATGTACGACTCACACATCCAAGGTATAAATACGCACGCGCAAACCCCACACACGACACAACGACACCAACGTGGTTGAACTCTGAAGTAAACGGTTGTGTCCACGTCCTCTCCAGTCTTTTTCTTCATCGCGGGTATCAGGGAAGCGTAATCGGGCCAGGGTTAATTCCGTGGTCCCGGCGTGGTTCAAGACCCCATGCTGGGGCCCACAACAAGATAAACGTTCTTATCTTGTACAAGCGACGGTGATTTAAGAAAATCTCAATTTGAAGCAACATGTCTCCGTGAATTGTAACCAGCCTGAATCAAAATCTTTTTGCCAGAAACCGATACTGGAGATGAACAGTAAATAGTAAGTGGAGGGCTTAGAATTGCCGGGTTCAACGCTTTTGACAAGGCATGAAGGATGCAGAACTAAAACTCACAATTTCCACCAGCAGTTCTGCCGTGCCATTGACTTCGCCTCGTAAAATCCTCGGCAAAACACGGGTCCCGAAACCAGGAACCCTTTCAAGCTGGCGCACATCGGCGTGAAGGATCGGCTCACCGATGGACGGCGGCCCGTCCGCAACCCTGGGAGTTGCAAAGATGGGTCCACCACCACCAACATCGTCGTCGTGTACAGACTTGGTGGGGAGGATGGGCGGTGTGGGGTGGGGATGGAAGGATGTGAGGAGTTCTCTGAGAGCAGCCGGGTGGTATACGGACAGGCCAGTTTCTGCGTCAACGACGAAGACGAAGCCGGATGGCGGATTGCCGCCGAAGTGGACAACTTGGTCGAAAAGATCGGCGACGTGGAGATCCACACCCATCACGCCAAGGAAGGTGGCCTTGAAGTACAAACATCGTAGCATTTAACAAACGATTCTACCTTGGTTCATACGACATCAAGAAGCGTTACCCAGCTTTAAAGTGTGCTTTGAACTGAATTTGAATGCAAATAACCACTGATTGATGGAGCAATAGAGAGCATGAATGAGATTGTCGAGGCTGTAGGATCGATGGCACGACGAGGTTATGTACAGGGGAATCAAAATCAGCCCTAAGTAAACGACTCTCTTTGGAACCGAGTGTGTATCTTCGAGTTACACATCTTTTTTTTCAAATCAGAGAGTGATTTGCCTGGCAGTGGCTTGTTAGAATCTTAAAAATTAGTGCCTCGAATCAGGGTAAAAACAGTAGACTTTTCTTTGCACTTACTCTTACGAAAATCTAAAATTCCTTCTCTCAACAATCATAACTTCTCAGTTTATCGAATGAATACACATATTCTTAAATTATATAAACCCATGAATCAATGATAGGAAGACGACGGACTATGGATACACAAATATGGCAATTGGACAAAGTCGCATTGTCCAAACAATCAGGCGAATTCCTTTCTTATCCTTGCAGAAAGTTTGTGGTTTTTCGTAATTTGAGGTTGGAATTCGGTGTTATTACTCTATCGATGACTTATTTGGATCAAGCAGTGGATTGTGGGGCCTAGCAAGGGTGTTTCGAAGGTAAATTGTGGAGCGAACTAAACGTGGTTTGTCCCGAATGAGCCTTGCCTCATCGTAGAACGCCTGGCTGATACTCATGACCAAGCCTCTGCCCTCCAAGTCGCGATAGGGCAGTGAGAAGAAGAGCTTTGAACTCGCGGTGGGTGAGGTGGTTTGTGACTTTGAGGAGGGTGTGTGTAAAGAAGAAGAGGTCTTGGCAGGTCGCAGATTCGCCTCGCCTCCGCCAGTCCAGACGTTGTAAAAACGTCCAACGGTCTCACCCAAATCGGTGGTGCGATTTATTGTGTAGAAGTGGCCCGGACGCACATCGGAGGGAGGAAGGTGATTCGGCTCCGAGTGGACGTTCCATCTACGGAAAATTAGTGTAGATTTGCTGTAAAACAGGTTGGCACAGTGACATTTCGGGAGAATTTGTAGAAAATCGTAAAGCACATATAGACACACAAGATCGCCTTCCTTGATCAGTTCTTCTGGTATTCCATAAATCCAAGTTCCGTTGGGGAAAATAACGCTTAGTGGGAAGTATGTGTAAAGGACACGTTGAAGACCGGACTTGTCAAGATCCTCATTCGATTAGAGGCAATAATATGATCTTGTCGTGAATCGTGTTTATTCCCCTTTTGGCAGCATGTCGCCAGCCACGCGAATCCTCAACTCACCCTTCATTAGCACGAATATTGATCTTGGAGTATTCCCATACCTAGATCTCGGTGTTAGTGCATGTATGACTCACACACCCGAGGTATAAATACACACGCGCAAACCCCCCC